GCTGGGAGTCGTAGTCCCGTGTCAGGGTGGGCATTTCCAAGGTTCCTCAGGACTCCCAGCTCCAGCCGTTCCCATTCCTGTTCCTCGGAATGTTTAAATCGCTTTTCCCAGCCCCGAGGCTCTGCTGAGGAATCCCGGGCTGGAGAAGTTTCTCCCCCTCTCCTCTGCCCGACCCAACCCCTCTCGTTTTTCCCGGATCGTCCCATCCTCGCCTCGCACGGGAGACTGAGCTGGGCTGAAAATGAGGGTCGTGGGTGTCCTGATTTTGGGCCACAGGAATGATGTTTCCCAGCAGCTCTGGACCCATTGCTGGGGTGAGGGAAAGGGCCTTCCATGGCAAAGGGAATTATTTCCAGTCGGGATAAAAGCTGTGGAAGGTGCTGGTGTCTCGGGCTGTCCATGTGTAAATCATTGTTTTGTCTGACACCTTTGGTTCTTAACGTTGTTCCAAAGAATTGTTTGATTCCTCATCCCTGTTCCCAGTAAATCTCAGTTTTTAACCCTCCCTCCCTCCCTCCGTCCATTCCTCCCCATCTCCCCCAAACCAAACCAAACCCCGCTCGTTTTTCCCGGATTGTCCCATCCTTGCTGTGCCCAGGACACCGAACTGAACGCACACCGTGGGTAACTGGGAACAGCAACAACTCTATTTGAGAACAAAGCGAACATCACCCTGGGGGTGGGCGCGGGGGAGCAGCGTGGGCAGGACAGGGAGCAGCCCTGGGCACCGGGGCCGCCTTTGGCACCGCAGGCACGGCCCCAGCACAGGGAATGGTTGCCAGAAGTGGATGAGATCATTCCACCCGTCAGGCTTTCTTCCCCTTCAGGAAGCGCAGGAGCTCCAGCAGCAGGTTCAGGAATTTGGCCAGGATGTGCTCCTGGAAGCTGATGGCGCTGTGATGCTCAATGTCGTCCGGGCTCAGCAGATCGCTCCAGTCCCACTCGGGCTCCGGCTCCAGCTCCGGCTCCTGCGTGGTCGGGATGGGCTCCGGGGCAGGAGCGTCCGCCTCGGGTGGGAGCAGCCCCATCTGCACCTGGATCCAGGTGTGGTAGTGCTGGACCGAGGTGTAAATCCCGGGTCTTTTGGCCCCGGCGCAGCCCCGGCCCCAGCTGGTCAGTCCCACCAGCCAGAAATAGTCACCGACGTTGTCCTTGCAGACCAGGGGACCCCCGGTGTCCCCCTGCGCGGGAGAGAGGGGTCAGAGCCACGGGGACATCGGGACAGGGACACAGGGACACAGGGACACAGGGACACAGGGACGGGGAAGGGAAAGGCAGCCCTGGGATATGGGATGGGTTGGGCTGTGTTTGGGGTCCCCGTGCCGGGTTTAGGGGATGGAACGGGGCCGTGTTTGGGGTCCCCGTGCCGGGTTTAGGGGATGGAACGGGGCCGTGTTTGGGGTCCCCGTGCCGGGTTTAGGGGATGGAACGGGGCCGTGTTTGGGGTCCCCGTGCCGGGTTTAGGGGATGGAACGGGGCCGTGTTTGGGGTCCCCGTGCCGGGTTTAGGGGATGGAACGGGGCCGTGTTTGGGGTCCCCGTGCCGGGTTTAGGGGATGGAACGGGGCCGTGTTTGGGGTCCCCGTGCCGGGTTTAGGGGATGGAACGGGGCCGTGTTTGGGGTCCCCGTGCCGGGTTTAGGGGATGGAACGGGGCCGTGTTTGGGGTCCCCGTGCCGGGTTTAGGGGATGGAACGGGGCCGTGTTTGGGGTCCCCGTGCCGGGTTTAGGGGATGGAACGGGGCCGTGTTTGGGGTCCCCGTGCTGGGTTTAGGGGATGGAACGGGGCCGTGTTTGGGGTCCCCGTGCCGGGTTTAGGGGATGGAACGGGGCCGTGTTTGGGGTCCCCGTGCTGGGTTTAGGGGATGGAACGGGGCCGTGTTTGGGGTCCCCGTGCTGGGTTTAGGGGATGGAACGGGGCCATGTTTGGGGTCCCCGTGCTGGGTTTATGGGATGGAACGGGGCCGTGTTTGGGGTCCCCGTGCCCAGGCCCCGCTCGCACCTGGCAGGTGTCGATGCCGCCCCGCGGGTACCCCGCGCACAGGTCCTGGGGGTGCACGGCCCCCCCGTACCAGCGGCTGCTGTTGCACAGCTGGACGTCGATCAGCCGCACCTTGGCCTCCTGCAGCACCACGCCCGGGGTCAGCACTGCGGGGACAGAGGGGACAGCTCTGAGAACGGGCCGGGGTGGCACTGGCCACTGTCCAGGCTGGCACTGCCTGCTGCCCAAGGTGGCACTGACCGCTATCCAGAGCGGCACTGCCCACTCTCCGGGGTGGCACTGCCCGGGGTGGCACTGACCGCTGTCTGGGGTGGCACTGCCCACTGTCCAGGGTGGCACTGTCCGGGCTGGCACTGCCCACCATCCAGGGTGCCACTGCCCACTCTTCGGGATGGCACTGGCCGGGGTGGCACTGACCACTGTCTGCGGTGCCACTGCCCACTGTCCAGGGTGGCACTGGCCACTCTCTGGGGTGGCACTGGCCACTCTCTGAGGTGGCACTGCCCGGGGTGGCACTGACTGCTGTCCGGGCTGTCATTGACTGCTGCCCAGGGTGGCATTGCCCACTGCCCGGGGTGGCACTGCCCGCTCTCCAGGCTGGTACTGATCGCTGCCCGGGGTGTCACTGACCGCTGCCTGGGGTGGCACTGCCCACTCTCCAGTGTGCACTGCCCACTGTCCGGGGTGGCACTGACCACTGCCCGGAGTGGTACTGCCCGGGGTGGTACTGACCACTGCCCGAAGTGGCACTGACCACTGTCTGGAATGGCACTGACCGATGCCCGGGGTGGCACTGCCCACTCTTCGGGATGGCACTGGCCGGGGTGGCACTGCCCACTGCCCGGGGTGGCACTGCCCACTGCCCGGGGTAGCACTGGCCACTCTTCAGGGTGCCACTGGCCACTGTCCAGGGTGCCACTGCCCACATCCCGGGGTGGCACTGCCCACTCTTCGGGATGGCACTGGCCGGGGTGTCACTGACTGCTGTCTGGGGCAGCACTGCCCACTCTCTGAGGTGGCACTGCCCAGGGTGGCACTGACCAATGTCCAGTGTGGCATTGCCCACACTCTGGGGTGGCACTGCCCACTCTCCGGGGTGGCACTGACCACTGCCCGGGATGGAAGTGCCCACTCTCCGGGCTGCCACTGCCCACTGCCCAGGGTGGCACTGCCCGGGCTGGCACTGACCGCTGTCCGGCGTGGCTCTCCAGCCCGCGATGTAGCAGGTTCTCAGCTCGGGCACTGCCAGGGAGCTGTCGGGCACACAGGCCAGCTGGATGTAGTCGCTGCACTCCACGGGCTGCTCCAGCTCCAGCAGGGCGATGTTGTTCCACGCCGTGGCAGCCACGTAGTTGCGGTGCACCAGCACCCTCTGGATGTGGCGCAGCTCGGCCNGGGTTTAGGGGATGGAACGGGGCCGTGTTTGGGGTCCCCGTGCCCAGGCCCCGCTCGCACCTGGCAGGTGTCGATGCCGCCCCGCGGGTACCCCGCGCACAGGTCCTGGGGGTGCACGGCCCCCCCGTACCAGCGGCTGCTGTTGCACAGCTGGACGTCGATCAGCCGCACCTTGGCCTCCTGCAGCAGCAGCCGCGGGTTCCCGGCTGCGGGGACAGAGGGCACTGAGCACCCCTGGAATTTTGGGGGGCCCTGTGGGGCTGAGCCCCGGGACCAGGGCCGAACTGTGCCCCACAGAGCCCCTGTCCCTGTGCCCTGTCCCACTGTGTCCCTGTGGGCACCAACCCATCCCCACCCCCATGTCCCACTTGGGGTCCCACCACTGCCCGGGGTGGCACTGACCACTGTCCGGGGAGGGTCTCCAGCCCGCGATGTAGCAGGTTCTCAGCTCGGGCACTGCCAGGGTGCTGTCGGGCACACAGGCCAGCTGGATGTAGTCGCTGCACTCCACGGGCCGCTCCAGCTCCAGCAGGGCGATGTTGTTCCACGCCGTGGCCGCCTCGTACTCCTCGTGCACCAGGAGCTGCCGGATGCGGCGCTGCTCGGTCAGAGCGTGGGGCTCGGTCAGGTCGGTGGCCCCGATCAGCACCTCCCAAACGGAAATGTCGCTGAGAGAGCGGGGACGGAGCTGAGCCACGGGATGTGGCAGCTGCCCGTGCTCTGGGACATCCCTGTCCCCGCTGTCCCTTACCTGGCCCTAAAGAAGCAATGGGCGACCGTGAGCACCCACTGGGGGTGGATGAGTGCCCCCGCGCACATGTGCCACGTCCCGTTGCCCAGGGTGGCCTGGATGCTGACGATGCCGGGCCAGGTCCCCGCGGGGACACCGGAGCCGTCCATGGCGCGAAAAGAGGCGTCGTAAGTTCCCAAAACCCCGTAATCATCCCAGGGGTCGTAATCCAGAACGGCGGAGCTGTGGTCRAACGCCAAGGGCCGGAGGCCGCAGGTTCCTCTGCGAGCACAGAGCCATCAGTGCGCGGGGCCGGCAGGGACARGGACCCCCGGGGGACACGGCTGTCCCCAGGCGCTGCCGCCGGGACCCCCCGAGCGTGGCCGAGCCCCCGGCAGCCCCGGCGCCGCTCACCTGCAGGTGTCCCAGTTGGTCGCCACGGGCCCGGCCAGGGCCAGCAGCGCCAGCAGCGCCAGCAGCGAAGCCATCGGTGCCAGCGCAGGTGGCGGGGTCGGGAGCGCAGGTGGCACCTGCAGCGGCCGCGGTGTCCCCGGGCCGGGGTGAT